TTTCTGCATGCTTTAGCCAAACATTCAATTCATTTGAACATTTCTAAATTGTTATAAAATAATATTTTATTCCATTTTTTTTTTGTCATTCATCTATTATCTAAAGCTAAAAGAAATTCGATACGACAAATAATTATAATTGATAAAACAAGAACAAAAAAAAATTTTTTTTTTATTAAGTATCTAACTTACTTCTTCGTTATAATTTTTCTTACAAAAATCCTCAAATCGATAAATTTTGCCATTAAATTGAACAGTGGTATAACGATATATCATACGTAACGTACGTGATTCGAGCAAATCGATTTCTCTTCATGTAATGCATAAAACATCAATGCAAATAGTATCTGCAAAAGTTGTGACAATTTGATGATAAATATGTGATGGTTATGAATATAATAAATACAAATAACAAAAAATAAAATGCAAAAAAAAAAAAAAAAAAAGAAAAGCACTTTAAAAAAGAAAAGCACAATTATGTAAATATCAATCATATTAAAGCATATAATTTTAAAAAATGTTTAAGTGATAAAAAACTTCGATAAAAGTAATCTGAATTGACTGCCAAATATTCGTAAAATTTTGCGATGTATTATAATTTATCGAGAAAATATCTTCTAGCAATGCTTTTTAAATTTTCCATTAGTTTTTTCTTTCGCCTAAAATTAATAAATAAAAACAGTGTTTACATTTTAACAATTGGATATCAGAAATTGTTGCTATTGGTAAGTTAAGTTATTTGTTTAGATGTAACTTACCGAAAAAGTAACACCACTGTAATGATAAAAAGTGGAATGATGAATAAATACAACAAGAAACATAGCCTTGATCGACTTCTTGGAGTGTTCAGTTTATATAATATAACATAAAGATAGAATTGTTAATGAGTAATTTTAATTATGAAAAATTAGAAGTATAAACAAGAAGACTGTAAGCAAACAATGAGAAGAAGAAAGAAATGTAATTAAAGTAAAAAAGTGCATTTGAAAATTGAAAATTTCTTCCTTTACCTTTCAATTTCATTAGTTTCATTCAGGTCATGTTCTTCATGCGTCATTTTTTGACTTTTTATAAAATGTTTCGTTATCAATAGTTTATTTTGAAATATAAACTTGGAATGACTAAATTATAAACATAACAGTTTTGTTTGTTTTCAAGCTAAATTTTCTTTCAAATATGCAAATTTTGCATAATTAAAATTTGAAACAGCATAAGAAGATATTTCAGTGCTTTAATTCATTATCAAATTTAATTCACATTGATCGGTTGTTTTTCATCAAATTCGTCTGATAAGAATATGATAATTCAAACATGATGAAATTTAGCAAAGATCTTAAAACAGTAAGTTTTAATTTTAAATTACTTTTAATTAAAGCTCTCTCTACTTTTGCTACCCTGATATTTTGAATGATAAGATATGATTGCTTATGCTATCGCATTTCCTTCAATGATTGATTATCGATAAAATTTAAGAATTCAATGATTTTGAAGAATTCTTGAATTATTTATTATAATACAGAATCTCAAATTTAATCTAAGCAGCATTTATCAATAGAATAATTTTTCCCAGTCAAAAAAGAAAAAACAAATTTGTTGTTTACAAAGTCAGCCTATGATTGGATGTCATTTATGCTATGCTATTCGAACAAGCGATGATATTCTCATTATTTATTATAACTCCTAAAAAGGGTAATGAAGGATGCATTTGACAATCTGATAAAATCATCATTTAGAGAATAATAATGATAGAATTATGAATAATTACTACTGATAAAACATAGTATATTTTTTTTTAAAGTGATAAATTGCATATTGTATATTTTTTTGATAAACCATGTTGTTATATTTTGTTGTATATATCACTGATAAAAAATATTGTACATTTTTTGAAAGTGATGATAAATTGCTGATAAAACATGATATTTGTTGAGTAATGAAATAAGAATAATAGTAATGAAATAAGAATAATAGATGAAAACTTAGCTTCTTTGAAACCTAATTTAAATTAACTTCTATGCATGAATTTAAGTAGTTTCCAGAACAAATCGATTAAGAAGACATTCTTCGGATTGTAGTGCTGACGATAAAAGTCGGATTACTTGTTGTATTTGTTTCATTCATAAGAAATCCATTTTATTGCAGCCTTGTAACCACATTTTTGTGTGTGCTGATTGCGTTGAAGAATTGTTAGAAACCTATGAGGAGCCGTTATGTCCATTGTGTCGTTCCGTCATTACATCCTATGTTGATGTCTATATTTAGTGTATAAAGTAAACACGGGATAAGATTAAACCTACTCTCGAGGAAATGCAACTATTATTTAAGGAATCAAATTAGGCAGAGAAAAAAAATGTAGTAAATTATGCATAATGGTCAGTTTTGTCGCGAGCAATGGTTGTTCAAATTCAAATCTTTGAACAAACTCGTATGTTTGATAACACATCAGTCGCTATTTCCCATGTGAGGAGTCATATATTTTGTAACATCAGAGATGATTTTTTTGATTTCCTCATCTGTTGTTTTGAGTTTGATTTCTAAAATTATTCAGTTATGGTTAAATGTCTATTTGTATTGATACTATTGCATTATTACATTGTTTCATTGCAAACAACATTTATTGATGCTGTTGTCTGAACAAACATTTTAGTGAATTAGAATTAAGAAATGTCGTGAAATCCGTAAATAATTATAAGTAATTTAAATCAAGAATAGCTTTTTTTTTTTTATTTTAATCAAGAAAAGCTTTTTTCCACACTCTTATCTTAAAGCCTCTTAAATTAAAAAAAAAAAAAATTTCAGAGCGGGACACGATGGATTCAGTATTGAGTTCAAATGGGAAATATGATTTGCTTTCTCATTCATCGGAATCATCCGAAAATTCCGAACGCATCGGGTCAATTCTACTTATTTCAGAAATGGAAAAGACTGTTTCAGTATTTTGAAATAACTCAAAATTAATTTCATTTATTTGTAGAATCATTTTTTAAAGGAAATGTCTTCCATTGATACAATACTACTTTTCTATGCTTGCAAAAAAAAAATTCTTATAGAATCCTTCCTGTATCTTCTCACAAGAAGCAATTTTGTAACTGTCATCGTTTGCTAAGCTTAATTAATCGCGACAATACGAAATACTCAAACAACACAATGATACAACATAATTCGATGAAACTAATGCCAGCAATAATCAATAATAGCTTAGTGGAAAATGACAATTCAAAGGTAATAATGAAAAGACTTAAACGAATTTAATATTTGAAGTTTCTGATTTTAATTTTGATACACTCTTTTCATATCAATCAATATTTTAAATTCAATAAAAATTGGGGAACTCTTTTAAAAGCTTCATGATTGTCTTCTCGATAAAATGAAAATGTGTCTCTATTGTTGAAAGGAATAACTGAGTAAAACCATCCGTCAAGACTGTATTTTGCATGCTTTACAATACAATTAATCCTGAATTCTCTAATCAAATTTGCGCAATAAATTCAAAAGCAAGAACGGTAAATGTTTTCTTGATAATACTTCATGCAAAACGCAATAAAACATGATATAATGCAGTATACTCTCAATCACGGCGTATTTAATGATGGACATAAGTTCTCAATACTAAAAATACTGTTTTAAGAAATCACATATATATATATAAACATTCCTGATTTATACTTACAAATATCACTTAAAATTATTTACGGATTTCACAACATTTCTTAATTCTAATTCACTAAAATGTTTGTTCAGACAACAGCATCAATAAATGTTGTTTGCAATGAAACAATGTAATAGTATAAATACAAATAGACATTACTGTAGGTAAATCTGCAATAAACTGAGGTAGGCAGGAATGCACAAAAACCACAGCTTGAGAATTTTAGAAATCAAACTCAAAACAAAAGATGAGGAAATCAAAAAAATCATCTCTGATGTTACAAAATATATGACTCCTCACATGGGAAATAGCGACTGATGTGTTATCTAACATACGAGTTTGTTAAAAGATTTGAGTTTGAACAACCATTGCTCGCGACAAAACTGACCATTATGCATAATTTACTACATTTTTGTTCTCTGCCTAATTTGATTCCTTAAATAATAGTTGCATTTCCTCGAGAGTAGGTCTAATCTTATCCCGTGTTTACTTTATACACTAAATATAGACATCAACATAGGATGTAATGACGGAACGACATAATGGACATAACGGCTCCTCACAGGTTTCTAACAATTCTTCAACGCAATCAGCACACACACAAATGTGATTACAAGGCTGCAATAAAATTGATTTCTCATGAATGAAACAAATACAACAAGTAATCCGACATATATCGTCAGCACCACAATTCGAAGAATGTTTCCTTAATCGATTTGATCTGGAAATTGGAATCATCCTTATTAAATTCATGCATAGATCGCATAAAAAACTTACCGCCAAAAAAAGTAAATTTAGCACACTAATAATTAATGGATACAAACAGAGAAAAATAGTGTGCGTGAGGCATGAGGCGTCGACAATTCCTGGCAATGAATTGTATCGAAGCATTGCCAAGTTGCACAATGGAGATTTGCTTAATGACAATGATAAACGCAGTACAAATAAGGATCGAAATTAAGGAAATCATTGTTAGTATGAATGGATGGGAGATTAACAAATTTAGCAAAGCGCGAAATGGCCAAACTATTAAACAAATGACTTCATCAATGAGAAGATGAGAAGATGAAAGACTGAATACAGTAAAATAAGTAAAATAAGCAAAAAAGAGCAAAAATTTGCTAACACTTCCAAAGGTGACCCCGATATTATTAATTGTTTCCAGTAATCGTAAGATGACATTTGCAAAGAATGATATAATTTCATTGCATACGCTGGCGTATTGATCTAACAAATCTGCAAATGGCCCTAAATTGGCCAGAAGTGCTTCCTGTAAGATGATTACAAAATGACCGACTCCAAACTGTTGGGTCATAGTTAACCGTAGAGAGCTGGAAATTCGAAAGAACGATTATTCTGAATAAATTTTCTGCAACTTTTGAATATGAGACAGTAACCAGCTACACAGCTGAAATTAAGAGATAGAAACAGTATCACTTCAAATAAAAAAAAACTATAAAATAGATTCTTATAAAACTTACAATACTCAAGCGTGAAACTTTGTGACCTGAACTAGCAAATGTAAAAAAAAAAAAAAAAAAAAAAAAAAACTGCAAAGTCGTAATTACCTTTCCAACACTAGCTCCTTGTACGATTTTAGCATCACCGAAACGGGCTTCTGAGAATTCTCGCGAATCTTTCAAAGCTTCAACCCCAAACATTATATCGAAAATGAATTCATTTCAAAGAAAAAGATCACATCCCTAAATACAAATTATTATCTAAAAAAGATTTAAACGATGACAATCAAATCAGCAACCTGATTTGCAATACTTTTTGTTATATATTTAGTATTAATGATTAAATCATTTCCAATCAGAAAGACAAATACCATATCATAAATATCAAAAGCTTAATCCTGAAATGTTACTTCACTGAATACACACCGGAAGAAATCCGTACCGACAGATCTTGCTTAGCAGTAGCAACAACATCAATAATAATAACAGCAAATATTCTGTTCTTGTAGCACAGGTGATGATGTGGAGCGCAATGAAAATAAATCCCACACTATTCGAACAACAATAGGAGAAGTTTCCATGGTGAAGTCAATTAGTTAGAATAGAAGGATAAAGTGATAAGCTATAGTACTTATGAAAGATAAAATATTCGTAGTGCTGTACCGATGACACTATAACTTCATTCCTGTATATCACATTGACCATTAGTAAGAAAACAAACACTAACCAAATCTCTTTGAATTCTTAATTGTTTGAATCCGTAACTCACTCACATTTCCCAAAATTTAAACAGCATAAGCAAAAACTTCACATAAAATACTAACTTTTATGGAGTTGTCAATTTTTGAAAACTAACTGAATGTGTGGAGGAAATACAACTGTCAGATAATTCAATAATAGAAGAAAAAGTGCATCATTAAGTCATGCAATTTTTTTTTTTTTTTTTTTTTTTGGGAGAGCAAAAAATAAGTGTAAAAAAATGGAACAAGCTTTAAATATAAGCGAAAAATTCTTCTATATATTGGAAGTGGCAAGCATATAGCCTCCTGAATAAATTCACTACTTTTTACAAATTAAATAGGCAGCAAATTAATAACAATAAAAAAAACGTCCTACTGGGACAATATTTGATGAACATGAATATTTCATTGCGCTTTTTAGAAGAAAACGCAACTGGAACAGCTTAGTGTCTCTTATGTACCAGAGCGCTTGAGAAAGTGAGGATACAAATGAGTTCATGAAACGTAAATGAGTGCGACAATAGACAAATCCTTTAAAGCATGCTTAAATCATACTCTTTTAGCGGTCTATGAACATATATTAGAACATATGAAAAATGGATATAAATAAGTTATAATAACGCATCATTAGACCGACAAAAACATTTCTATATATATATATTAAAAAAATATTAAAAAACTGACCAGGTATTCCAGTGCACCAAAGACAAATTCATTAGGCTTGAAATTTCAATAATATTAAAAAACAAGCTTCTAATGAATATGCAGACAACTAAACTAACAAAAAATATCTTACAAGTATGACTTGACTTATATAACACAAAATTCCGAAACTTTGACGGTTTCTGGAAATGAACTTCAAAAAGTATGATATAGAATACTGCATACGGTTTATGACCTAGTTGTCTCAACTACTACTGGATTTCCTTTATTGCAGAGATCAAAATTAGTCAAATTCTGAATTATAACTGAAATTTCGAGTGAATATTGCTCCAAATGAGCAATCTAGATAACAGAACACGTAATATATACAAAAGATGAACAGAGGTTGACATAATTAAAAAAGAAAGAAAAATAAAATACTTTGTAACTACATCTGCTAATAGGGCGGAACTTTCCACATCTATAGCATTATAGAAACAGCCCCATTATATAAGAACTTTTTTTTTCAAGACTAATTTTCTTCCACAGATAATGAAGTACAAAAATTATGAGTAAATAACTGGGTGGATTAATGCCTCTCTTAGAACTATAGAAAATGTTCAACAGTAAATCGTGATGAGAGTATGTTCCTGGATATAAATTGCACTTTTAGAAGTTTCAAATAAAAATTTCATTTGGAAATGGAGAAGAATCTTAGTTTTTAGATTTTGGATATTTTAAAACTGCAATCAAAATGGCAAACTTCTTAACTTTTCACAAGGATATTTTTAGGTGTTAACTACAGAATGTAGCTAAATGACAAAAAAAGAAAGATAAACAAAACAGCAGAACTTTGAAACTGTTTAATATAAACTCAGCAATGATCATACTATTGTAATTTATCGCTTATTCGTTGGACAAAATGATGCATGCAGATCGGGCCCGGTAATGGCCATTCCCATTCGTTTCGTAATAAACCATCAGGTACATCACTTTCGAACCAATAACATAACCAAAACCACCATAAATGAGAAAGAGGCGCCTTAGTCCTTTCAATTCTAAAAAATATAGAATGTAAAAAACACAAAGCTTCCGCACTGTACTCCCAAAAAACAGTTCAAAGCTCATATGTACAATGAATGATGCAATGATATCATAAAAATCGAAAATAAAGTAAAAAATTTTTGTCAATCAGTTCCAGCAGATGTATTTACTTTCAAATATTACTAAATTGGAAACAAAATAGAAAAATCTTTTAGGTTTTTGCAAAAACAAACCTTGGCATTGCAAAAACTTGATGATAAGCATAAAAGATATGACTGGTAAGCCAGTAAGCTACAAGTACATCCATTGTATAATGACCACCCGAAATGACAAGTGCTGCTATTCCAATGTATGTTAACGGTGCTGCGATATACCTAAAAACCTTCGTCATAAATTGTCAACTTTACAGTATATTTCAAAGTTATGTCAGTACTACTGCCGTTTTTTCTTAACAATTCAAAATACTAACCGCAAATAGACCAATCTTCTTGGTGTATACTGAAGTAAGGTAAAGTACATAATCGTTAACACAATGGTGTGACCGCTAAACATGAGATCACCACAGAGAATTTTATCTTGACCCGAAGTTAAACCTAACGTTACAACATATGTTACGAATCTGAAATTTACAACAGAATAGAAAAACAAATGATTCATGATGCACATCGCAGAATATAATAATACTACAACATCAGTTTTGATCTATTTGTGATCATTCAAGACTAACAAGAGAATCAGTTTCCGCTGTGATGATTTATTAACAAGATACACCAAATGCAGAACATATTTGAACAATGTTACATTTTGGAATACCCAAACTTAAAATTGAAATTCATGAAGAAAAAAAAAGTGGATTTGAAATTTTGAATTAAAAAAAATTTTATTTCTCTGACGTTGTAAATTGAGATAAATCTATTTTTCTCTGATGCTTAAAGATTTAACGCCATAGCATGACATCATAACAAGTTTATCTTTAATAGTGAAATCATATCGGATAATACAAAGTTAAAGTGAATGAAGAATTGCTACCTTGTTGTTATTTCTGTAGCATACATAGCAGTTCTATTAACCTGCGGTAAGCATATTTCATCGCGGTTTTGAAATGATGGCGGTAAAAATGTTAATCCAAGAACTACTGCCCGCAACCCATACATAATCCCTCCAAGTAACAGCACACGACGAAATACTATTAACCGCTTCTTATGTAGCAGGACACATGTGAAACCAAGTACAGCACTGGAAAAACAAAATGTTAGAGTATTAAAATGAATTTTAAAAGCATAACAAGTTAAAATAAGACAAAAACAAAAAAATAGGCCTGACTACCGTAAACTATTATATGACAAATGGCTAGCTTGCAAAAGTTTGTTCTGTCAAACTTAACACATAAACGTGGTACAGAATCTCTTTAAAGCTTGTGAAATATTTTAAATTTTCATATTATTTTTATCCAAATATATGATCTTGTTCTTTATTAATAGATAGAATTAAACAGAAAACTAACTTTAAAGTAGAAAATGTGTCTCCGACAACCCAAGCCCACCTCTGCTGTGGTATCAGCATAAAAACGAGATCTGGCAAGGGTTCCCTCGGTACTATATCGTGAATCACAGTGAGCAGGAAAAAATTAAGGAATGCCGATATCAACAAACAAACAAATGCAGCAAACGTTTTCAGTGCTTCCTTTTGCCATGTCTAAAAAAAAAAATTCTGCTTCTGAACCTTAGAAGTACTTACAAGCTAAAGATTCTGATACTCTTAAAAATTTAATATATTGTGACTCTTTGTCAACCTCAGAAATTTAGTATATTGTGACTCTTTGTCAACCTGAAAAAAGTTTTTCTACTATGCATTGAGGAGATATTAAAAATTGGCCTGCTTTCTACCCATTCTAATAAAGTGATTAAATACTTTATTTTCTGTCGTACAAACTTAGTATTCTTATCTTATGAAAAGATTATATACATAGTAGCCGTTGCTATTAAAACACAAAAGAAAACTCTTAAAACACAAAAGAAAACACTTAAACATTAAAATGCAACCATACTTTTATCCCAGAAACAAGAAGAAAAAGGCAAGAAGAAAAAACATATCAACTAAAACAAATTTTATTACTAAAAAGTACCACTTGTAATAAATTTAACGGATTTAGTAACGAATAGTGGAAGGAGAAATATCAATTATTGTTGACTACTGAATTAATTGATGGACCCAATTTTGTTTTTAATTCAAAGTTCAAAAAATAGAATATGAAATATTTCATACAGGAAGAGAAAAAAGGAAAACCCGTGTCACTACGTAATAAGGAGAGAAAGGAAGTAAGACAGTACAACACGTCAAGTGGAAAATAGAATTATTGTGGTAATATTAGCAACCTAAGAGACATAAAATTTAAAGTAGGCTTTCTAATATATACAAAACTAACATGCGCTAAAGTTTTTATCAACTTCCGCAATTTCTGAATATCGCCCACAGGCAATTAAATAAGCACTCGTAGTGCTTTAAAAGGGAGAAAGAAATAATAAACGATACAAACGAAAATATTTGGGAATCGATCGACAAAATGAATTCTAAAACAGGAGAAACTTATAAACATTCAAGAACTTGCCAGGAGGATTTGTGCCGAATGTTGCTGCTTACGCATAGCAGTAATCATCATGGTACCACACCACCCGCGATAAGCTCTTTTTTCAATAATCTGTGATAAAAAAAAATCAGTAGCATCAAGATTACAACAAAGTGATAAGTTGATCCTCATTTAAAGTAACAATTCAGTTGAGTTAAAAGTTAACCCAGAAAATTTTTTAAAGCATTGAATAAAAAGCAATACCTAGACTGAGGAGAGCTGCTAATGTGAAGACTACAATGGCACTACGGCAAATGAATATTTCCACACGAACTATAAAGTAACCTCTAAGAATCGAATAAAATAAAAATCTCCTACAATAATAAAGGACAATGTTGAAAGTCTCTATTCTATTCTAAATAAATGCTTGGAATAGAGTAGTTCCGACATGGAAAAATAATGTTGGCATGTTTGCTGCCGTTTGACTGATGAAAAAAGAAGGTTTAGAATGAGTTATTTAATGCCAATTTATTGAATGTTATTGAACCTTTTATGCATCTTACTACCTCAAAGATTTCATCAACTGCTAAATTCTATACGGAAGACAAAAAAAAAAGAAACTTTTTATAAATATAAAAAATAATTTCATTTCGATTTATTCCTATATTTCACAAATAATAGAGCGTAAAGAAGTATCGAAAAACCATAATTCCGTAAAATGAAACTTAAAACACTAAATTACTTTTAAAAATTCTACCGTGAATATTTAACATCTCAATGATTGCCAAAATTTGTAAAATAAGGCTTCCACAGGAATGATATTCACTGACTCAGTTACCACTTTTATATTCTATCAGAATCTAACTACAAGAAATATAATTCAACAATTACTAAATTTGTACACCATAAAAACAAAATTATTTGCATAATATATTTGCATACGGTAATTCGTTTCATAGAAAACGCCAAACAATAAATATATTCTTACAAATTTTATATGCATAATTCCATTGTCTAAAATTCAAAGATTCTTCCTCACTAAACATTCACTAAACATGCTTATGTTATTTTTCGCATATAATCAATTTTAAAAGAAACGTTTAAAAATTGATAAGCTGCATTTGTTCCTTGTTTCGTTGCATTTTGAGGAGATTTGGGCAAAAAATATAGCTGTAAGGAAGCAGAAGCATCAGTAATGAAACAATAATGATGACAATGAAGACGTTATGCATCATAGAAAAAATCAACAAGATGGAAATGATGTTTGCTCATCTTTCATATACACACATACACACGTTAGTAGCAATACAGTAACTCTCAGTATGAATTTTCCCAAATTTAGCTGATACAAAAAATTGAATTTCAATTTGGAAATGTTACACTATTTGAAGTTTCAGTTGTAAATATTATTTCTTGTTACACTGGTTAAATAGTTGTTCGCTAAAACTCTGTATTCTTTAGACAACAAAAATGCTCCAAACACCAGGAACTAATTCTACCAAAATTATTTCCTCATACATTTTCAACGGTGTTTTACTACACATATGTGAAATTTACATCTAAATAGAACGTAACTCTACATGTGGTCACATCCCGAAATAATCAAGCGCTATTAAAATGAATTATTGCAATAAGATTTCTAAGAAAAGAGTCGATAAACATAAAATCAAAGAGCCATGTAATGTTTGGCATTTTATCACTATCAATTAATAATTTATCAATTAATGATCATTTTATTACTAATTTGCTCTCACGAATAATTGGACAATTCGTTTAACTAATGTTTCATTATTTTCTTGACTTATTAACTTAAAGAATTAAGAGAGATAATGTCTCTTTTTTTTCCAGAAATATAAACAGTATACTTATTAGTTTTATGCTTAGTGAAGTTTAACCAACACAGTTAATGGTTATGATCGTTTCACGACTGAAGATCTAAGCGATCATATTTATAAATTCTCTAGGTTTCAATTAAGTGAACAAATAAATAGCAAGCCATGAAATTACTAACTCTCCGTTGTCGGTGGAAAATGGAATCATTGCGATAAATTGGCAAGTCGGTTGAGGATAAGGAATTGATTGTTCCATTAGGCACTGGCTCCACAATATTCAATGATGTTTCTGTGAGATACCGAATCTGATCTTGGCTATTACTTGAAATACATTGTTGAAATTCAGCAGATTGCTTAAGAGGTACATGAGAATCACTTTGGTCGCGTCGATGTCCACCCATCAATTTCAAACAACTTCCTCTGAGGACCCCTTAGTTTTCCCTTAATTTCTAAGATATAACAGGGGTCCTTTCTTTGTTATTCAAGTAGATTTCTTTAAATCAAATTCTACAATGTTCCCTATTACCAATTACTGTTGAAACTGCTTTGAATTGTTATCACTTTCCTGGAAATAGAACTAGATCAATAAATGGCACGTGAACACAAAATACGATAAAGTATAAAAAAACTAAGCTGAAATTTCTATTTTTCTATGTTTCTTTCATTTCATATAAAAACTATTTGTTTTGAGTATGCCTAACTTATACCTCTATTTATGCTTTCCTATATATTACTACACTACACTTTTTAACATTGGTTTTCTTGAATATAGCGAACAGTTATTCATTAACAAATGAACTTTTTATACCACAAAACAGAGATAAAGAAATGGAGAAAAAGAACAGAATGATTCATTTACATGCATCAAAGACAACAGAAATTATCCACATCATTCAAACACGTAAGAAAATAAATAAAGCTTCACACTCACACTTTTACTGACCGATTTTGATATAAACAAATTATGAATAAAGTCATTTAATAACTTTAGCAATATTTATTTGAAGTGCACTTTGATAGCAAACTATGTAAGCCATCTAATTTTCTATCTAACAAACTTTCTAAAAAAATGACCATCAATGGAAGAAAAAATTTTCTCTACAAACGGCTTAGTCTACGGTACGATGTTATGCAGAAAGTAAGCATTAAGGCATAATGATAAAGAACTTAAATTTCGAGCAAGAAAAGTCAAACAACGGTTAATTTTTCCACCACATACACTATATAGATGGCAACAGGTTCGGTACTTATCAAAACATTTTGCATTAGCAAGATCAGTTAAAGAATGAGTCCTTACAATCATTGTTTTATTAGAGTCAATTACAGCAGGAATGCATTATAAATTCTGGATGTCTTAACCAATTTAAAATATAATTAAATCTCAAACGCTTGAAAAATCTCAATCCTCAAATATAGCCATTTGTCGTATTCTTGCCTATGAATAAATTCATTAAGACGATTCATGAAGCATGCATTGTCTATCACCTTTCAATGCAATTTAATTAAGTTCGAAAAAATCACACTCTCAAATGAGAGCATAAAAAAATCGATTGGTAGTAGTGGAACACTTTGATTGTTATTGTTAAATGAGTGAAAACACGAGAATAATGCTGAATCCAATCTATTTCACTTGTCCAGCATGACAGTGTAACTTTTCCTGCCCGTAAACCAAATAACCAAACAACCCACCCACCCTATCTTACCCATACTAACCATAAACCCACCTACTTTCACGACCAACTGGTACAGAAGTGCCATCGTGACGTCCTCTCAATGCCAATTAATTTCCACATCCTCAAAATGCAAAACTTTGTTCCCAGTGACAATGAATGACTTTACATAATGAATTGTATTTATATGTATTTATATATTTGGTGTGTGTGTGTGTGTGTGTGTGTGTGTTGTGTTTGATGATATAATTGATTGTATTGAGACAATATAACTAACTGGAAGTTTTGAATTGATGAGAGAGAAATAAACGATGAACATTTGGACAGTTCTAAATGGATAGAGAGAAAGGGAGAGGGAGAGAAGAGGGAGAAGGCGCATATGGTATCATATTGAATAGATTCATATATGCAACTGGTAACTTGATAACAGAACAATGAAAGGATAGTCAAGGAAAAGTGGAGATGAAAACACTAAAACGGAAATAAATATATTTGTGCGGAGAGATTTGAATTGTAATTTCATCAATATAATTAAATTTTCATAGCACAGAGAAACTTTCATATTGTGACAGCAAATTCGAATGAACCACATAAAAGAGATCAGTGCGACAACCGATATTGCAGCCGATTTCTCTCTCTCTCCCTCTCTCTTTGTACATCCTTAAATGCTATTTATTAGATTTTTCGCTGTCATATCATTCGGCGATGTATGCATTCATTTTGTGAAGTAAAGAACAAACCTGAATTAGGTTGAAAGTTGTTGCAAAATTTCAGTTTAATTTTCGAATAAAAATTTTTTAATTTATTAAATTTTGTCAGCTGTGGGGAATGCTATCTGATATATTAGGAATAGAAAAAGTGTGGAGAAAAAAGAAAAAGTGAATTTTAATGCAAATGAAAAATTAAATCACTTTTTGCAATTTGGTCATATTAAATAGAAATAAAATTCGTAACCGATAATGAGGGATATACCGGAATAAAAATTTTGCAACTGAATAACCCTTGACCTTATCATTAAATGGATTTCTATATAAATGTTTGCATTTAGATGACCAAAGCATTTTTTTTTTTTTTTTTTTGAATGCCAAAAATAAAAAATGAGAAGAGGCTGAGATGGGTAGGAAACAGAAATGAACGCGAAAAAAGAATTTATTTTTTTTTTTAATGATAGCTTTTTCTTTTGATCCATACAATTTATTATCATTTATTATTTTGTTATTTATCACTTATCAGTTATTTAATAATTAATAATATCAAGTTAGATTTATCATCATGTTTAGCACACATCATGTTTATTACTAAAACGATACACTATCACAATGCTTCTCTCTAATCGCTTTGTAAATATTTTTTGTTTCCAAAAAACTGATAAATGTTTGTCGTATTACTCTCATTTATTTATCTATCTAAAATTATCATAACAATTGCTAATGAATATTTCTCTAAAACAAATTAAATTAACTTCCTTCTACATTTAATGAATACTTTACAGTCGAAAATTTAACGAATACCATTCCAGTATGATTACATATGAAATTAAAATGTATATCAATACTTCAGATAAATTGGGAGATAAAGTGAAGTGTACATTTGGCTACTATTATTTTAAAACCATTATTCTTTTAATTGCATTTAAAAAAGTTTTTCTGTCCTAAATTTATAAAATCGGGAAACCTGTTAAAAATTAAAACAGACCAAAATGAGAAAGAAAAATGCGCCTCATTTTTTTTTTAATCTTTTTTATTTCGTTCATTTGATATTTCTATTTATGCAGAACAGTTTTATTTCATTCAATGAAATCATTCCTTGTTTTATTTTCATCATTATTGTTGTTGATCTGTTGTATTTTGATTATATAATGAATATCACTGGATTAAATTCATCTTTTTATTGCATATTTTAAAAATAGCCTACCAAGAAGATACTATCTCTTGGCACCTATTTTTTCAATTTCATTTTTTTATTTCATTTCTGTAATTATCTCAGAGAGACTAAGAATATTATAAATAAATTGGATATGAATTAGCATTTTGTTCGTAATCATTTTTTTGTTACTAAATTATTATTCTATAGCAATAATTCTGTTAAATGCTTTATATCTCAATGCTACACTTTGTGGTTGTTGTTTATCTATGTTAGAATAGAATTTTTCAATTTAAAATTTCTTAGCTTAAAAAATTTTAGTTCTTTTATTATTGATTTCACATTTTCGTAAAATGTAGCTAAATTAATTGTTTAAAAAAAAACATTTAAATGATTCATTTGATTTTTAAGAAATGAAAGTAATCGTATATCTTTCTCAAATAGAAAACCATTCCTTATCTTAATAATTTGTGTCATAAATTAACATAGCCAAACAAATATTACTTATTGAAAATATTTGAATTGTTTGTTGATACACTTCATAACAAAACTAAAATATCAGAGAAAACAACTAGATATAAATAAAAGCTCAAACTATCATTAGTTCACTATCGATCCAGTAAATAAATCCAAATTTATGGAAGTTGTATTTTTCATGTTATAAATGATCAATGGTCGAAAAGCACCAAAATCAGTTCCATTTTAAGGTAGATATCTTGAACATTGAAAAGAAGTGGCATAACTGATTCAGAAGCGCGATCAAATACTCCAATATCATTTCTAGAACACTAGATAATCAAATTTCTAATCTTGATTTTAAAAGAAATAGGTTCAAGTTCATTTAACAAAAAATTTCAATTTCTTGTATGTATCATAATATAATTCAATAGGTTACATTTTGTTGATTAAGGATACCTGAAAGATAATAAACATTGATAATGGATTACTGAATTACGTTTTGTTTCAATCTATGTGACATAAACTTCAATTTCGATTAGTTCAAAAATTTACAACAGGAAGAGTTTTAGAACCTGTGCATTGGCTATGACATTTCGTCGTCTATGGTTGACTGACAGCTTTTTCGGTAGATGTTGGGGCAAATTGCTGGCTGATGAAACCGTGAGATTCTGGATCACAAATTGGCGACATATACTTTACATGTGGCGTCTGAAATCTTACAGCACTTTTTGAATGATATTTAATATTTGTGTATCTCTTATCAGAAATGATAAATATCATTTATAAGCACAATTAATTATGTTCAAAATTATCAAAAGCTTATTCTATTCAACTTTCTGAAACAATTTTAAAATTCCATAAATTATTTTTTTTTTTTTGTAAGATGGAACGTTTTTCAAAATTTGGTTCAAAAAAAAGAAGTATTAGAAAATGTAGTGGTAATTACTTTTGTAGTAATAAATTTTGCAAAGAAATTACCTGATTACGAATCTATCCAAACAAAGTTTCCGCATTTTGTGGCTGTATTTCACCTTGCATTAACTTCGGGATGAAACGATTACTTTCTTTGATCTAAAGTAATAATAATTTAGTTAATTTATCCAAAAATTCATGTTAAATTTTTAAATACCTAAAATAACTCTGAAATTTAAAACAATTTTATCCAAAAATTCAATGAAAAATTTATGCAATTTATGTTCAAATTATAAGATTCATCAATACAAACAACGAAAAAAAAATCAAATTTTGATTGTATTTCAAACTTCATTAAAACAAAAAATTTTTAGAGAAAATTTCATTATATCTTAGACTCATCAAATTTATAGTTGTCAATAACATCTGATACATTTTTCAATAAGATCCGAAAGGTAGCATACCGGAACGCCAACTGCCTGTGAAAAGAATGGGAA